CGAGCCTGTATGGAATTTCGTTTTAAGAATTTCAGTCAAAGCCACTGATACCTAGACTCTCCTGACCTGTGGAGATGCAGCGTTTGTACATCAAGCTTCAGTCTATGGTTCTGCTTAGCAATTCTCTGTGACTGAATTCACAGTGACTCTTTGCTGTTCTGTCAGGGGGACCGGCTAACCTCCGATTTTGCTCTTCACTGTATCAATATATAGTACAAAGTGGTAACTACAGTACGAAGTATAGAAGTGGGGATTGTTTGTAAAGGGTTATTGAATGTGCTTAATGAAGAAGAAGGATTACAATACTGTAGTTTAGGAAGGCGTCCTACAGAAATTTTGTTAAGCTGCCCCCAGCTACTGCACTTTGTATATTTGAAGGACAAGGCAATATAGTTAGCTGGGGAAAATTGATTTGACTGCTGGCCTCTGAAGATTTATCTTTTCCTTTTCTTCCAGGATCCACACATATTTTAACACCCAGAAAGCTGTTGGATGATATAAAGATGCTGAATAAGCCCAAGGATAAAGTCTCCTTTACTAAAGATGAATAACATTTGGGTGGGGAGCAATTTAGAGATTCTTATTAATTTGTTCAACTAACATAGATGGAGACATTGTTGCTCTCATGTAATTTAAACAGTGTAAATATTTTCAGGAATAATGACTTTCAGATGTGTTTCTTAAGGGACTGTTTATGATTACGTATCATTGGATTTGCCATTTTTAATTTAAATATTGTTGCTGCTTTGTGGATGATGAGAAGAAATGTTAAAATGCTTTCTAAAAGGAAATGTTTTCAGCTTTGGAACAGAATATATTACAGTTGTGGGTAATTTTTCACAGCCTACCTATGTACATACTAATTACTTATTAGATACTTGTCTGTCTTATGCTGGAATATAGTTTTTGGGGAAACAATGATTTTAAATGAAAAGATTATAAAAGTGAAAACTGTAAATTTGTATGTATAATAGAATGATTTCCTAAAAGTGCAGTTTTTCTTTCAACTGAAATTCATGACTTCTTTTATATGTAAAGTAATTCAATCATTAATTGAAATATTTTACAGCATTTAATATCACATTTCCTTTATGGGCTCCAAATTTGTATTGTACTTAGAGCTATCTTTGCACCCAAGGTTGTAAATTGACCCATTGATCTTCCAGAGCATTTTGATAGGCTCATTTTATTTTTCATAGGTAACTCTCACCATCCCTCTGGAATTGATTTTAGTATGAGAGTATATGCTAGATATTGTCTCTCAGCATTTGGCATTATGTCCCATGCCTCCCCATTCCATATCACAAGGGATGAAAAGCTAAAAAGAAGTTTTTCAGACTCAAAGGTAAGTGGGGTTCTGAACAGGTTAGATTCTGCCTGTTTTTATATTTGTATTTGGTCGGGGTTTTGAAGGTAGAAAGGAGGCAGAGGCCATGTGCTGTGGCTGTGCCAGTGGACAAGTGAGTTCCTACCTACAGGAGTTGTTTGTAGCAACCGGACTCCACGCTTTAGTGTCTGTCACCTGCTTCACGGATATGAGGCAGTCTGGTGGCACGACCTTCCTATTCCCTGGGTCGGATTGTGATACACCGTGAGACTAAAAACAGAGTCCCAAGTTTCTTCCCCTGCAGCTTTTCCCATGATTTTTAAGGACTAAATTCTCTATATTAAAACACTCTCTTCTTAAAATATCTAGAGGAGTTTCTGTTCCTTCAGAGAACCCTGACTGATACAGTATTTTACAGAGATCCATCTTTATTTCTTTCTAAATAGACACCATACCAAATTTTATTGGGCAATCCCTCTTTCCCCAGTTAATCTGAAATACCTTGCTCATAAACTAAGTTTGAACTTTGGTCTGTTTCTACATTCTTTTTTACTGATTTATAGTTTGTTTTATTTTCTTCTATTTTATATTTTAAAATTTCTATTGGAGTACAGTTGATTTACAATGCTGTGTTAGTTTCAGCTGTGCAGGAAAGTGAATCAGTCACATATCTATCCACTCTTTAGCTTCTTTTCCCGTATAAGAGTTTTCCCATTATAGAGTTTGCAATGCTATTCAGTAGGTCCCTATTAGTTATCCATTTTATATTTAGTAGAATATATATGTCAATCCCAATCTCCCAGTTTATTCCCTATTTTAGAAATTTTTTTTTTAATGTGGACCACTTTTTTTAAGTCTTTATTGAATTTTTTACGACATTGCTTCTGTTCTGTGGTGGCCTTTTGGCTGCAAGGCAAAGCTCCCCAACCAGGGATCAAACCTGCACCTGCTGCACTGGAAGGTAAAATCCCAATCACTGGGCCCCCAGGGAAGTATTATTTTATTTGGCTGTGCTGAGACTTGGTTGTGGCACACAGGATCTTTGATCTTTGTGCTGCATGGGGGAGTTTTGGTTGGAGCATGTGAACTCAAGTCCGACCAGGGATCAGACCTGAGCTCCCTGCATTGGGAGCATGGAGTCTTACCAGTGGGCCACCAGGGAAGTCCCTCCCTATTTTAATTCATGCTGTGCTAATAGGTGGACATAATCTCTATTCCACCCATACCAGAATTACTGTTATCTTTTTTCAGAAATTCTCTGGGTATTGCATTTTTAAAAAGTGAACTTCAGCATCATTTTGTTAATACCAGAAGTTATTTTGATATTTTCATTAGGTTCATAGTAAACTTATATGTTAATTCAGGGAAAATACAACCTTAAGAATCATTATTTTCTTTATACAGGTGTTGCATATCGCCATAGTATTTTTCATGGTTCCACGTAAGTTGGATCTTCTATCATGTTTTTCAGACAGATTTTTTTATATATAGGAAAGTTAATGTTTTGACATATCAATTTCAGAACTTGCTATTTTATTAAGTAATGCTAATAAAATAATAATGTGCAAATGCTTTATATGTGAGGCACTGTTTTTAAGTGCTTATATTACATCATTTAATTTTCTCATTTAATCCTTTGAAAATAGGCACTATTATCATCTCCATTTTAAAGCTTAGGAAAGCTAAGGTACAAAAAGTTTATATAATTTAACCTGGATGACATGTATATGTGGAGAGAGAAGGTTTGACATTAATAAACTTTTCTTTGTTTCTGTTTTTAATTGAAGTATAGTTGATTTACAAGGTATTAATTGCTGTTGTACAGCAAAATGATTCAATTATATATACATGTACACTTTTGGATAGTGACTATGGTTCTCTGTGCTATACAATAGGACTTTGTTGTTTATCCATGCTTTATATAAAAGCTTTTATCTGCCAATCCCAACACTCTTTCCCTCCACCGCCCTCTCCCCTGGCAACCACTAGTCTAATAAACAGCTTTCTTTGAATGTTAAGCCTGAGAACAGTACACTGCCAGGGAGAAGGCTAATTTTTTGGTGTCTGCATTTTATCTGAGATCTTCATATGGCTCGCTAGCTATCTGTCCAGGGTTAGTACATGTATGGAACAGATCCATACTAATACAATGCCCTTTGACAAATGGAACTAGGAGTGTAATGACAGCAAACATTGGTCCATTCAGTCACTTCAGACCTCAGTGGTCACTGTGTCCTGTCACTCTGATAAGAGATCCTTTAGGCCTACGTTTCATATACATTTTAGACTTAGACTTGGAGAGACCCTTTGTTTCTTGAATTTCTTACTGAATTTGAAGATGTAAGAGGTCATTACACATAAATTCCTAGTATAAACTGATTCTCCAGCCACCACACCCTTGTTAGGTTGAGCAATTGCAGATTCTGGTACAAAGACCCTGACTTTTGTTGTTACTCCTAACTGAAATGATTGACTCACAATCTATGAAGCACATTTTTGCTTCCTGTTGAGATGTACTTGGTTTGTAAAGTGTAGTGGATTCATATCATTCAGTCATATTCACAAAAACTAAATAAGAAAAATAGCAGTTGACAAAAATTTTTGAATTTGAGCTAAATCCAAGCGGCCCAGATCCTGGTGGTGTGTTTGGTAACTTGTGATGCTTCTGTAACTCAGTTCTGCTATAGGTATTTGTACCCTTTGTGAGTCCCTTCAGGATGCAGGTGGATTTCTTTTAAAATCAAAGGAACAAGAAATGTTTTCCTCCCACAGTAAAAGTTCTACCAAAACAACATTCTGGCTATTAAATATAAATATATATTCCTATTTAGTATGAATTTGTTCTATTTTAAATAATTCACTAAGATTACAATTGAATGTTAAAAAGATGAATTTTCATTTGTAAAAGCTAATAGTTAACTCAGACAGTAAACACCTTCTACCAAGAGTCCCACTCATGCTGCCGAGTCCCTGGACTCAGTATTAGATACACAGTTACTTTTTAAAAAATTTTTTGGCTGCACCACCCATCATGCAGGATCTTAGTTCCCTGACCAGGAATTGAACTTGTGCCTCCTGAATTGGAAGAGTTTTAACCACTGGACCGCCAGGGAAGTCCTAGATACAATTACTTTTACTTTAGAAGCTTGTTCTTCTGGCTTATTATTGCAGCAGAATTAGAAGAGAGCTATCAAAGAAGTGTCCAGAGGGAGAAGACAGCCAAAAACTACTGAGTCAGTAAATATAAAATCCTTGTAAATCAGAGTCTAGCTCTTTTCCAGAATCCCTTAAGGACATGGCCCGATTTCTATTTCTTGGATTAGATGATTCAGTGATTGTTTATAATGATACTCACTCATCAAGGAAATATAAATTACACTTGGAATATGGTTTAATAAGGCATGGATGGGCCATATTTTTAAATAATTACAATAGTAAGTTTCTATAAAGGTTAATTTGTGGGGTAAGGGACATTCATTTATGGCAGTCCTTTCTAAATTGGATGCCATGGATTTGCTTCAGGTTTCCACAAACTTTTAAAAAATTGTGTGCAGAATCACGCGTGTTCATATCACTTTTAGAGGAGCATGGGGCAGGGAGGCTCCCTGACTTTCATCAAATTCTCAAAGAGGGTTGAATCCCCAAAAGTTTAAGAACTCAGAGAAGTATGTCATTTTTTTTTTTTTTTTCAAAGTCATGGCAACTTTATTGTCAGTGTGGCCAGGGTTGGGGGAGAGGCCTCAGTCATGATAGAGGCACAGGAGGCAGCCACGGAGGGTGCCCATGTAGCGGTTCCAGAGCGCCTGGTGCCAGAAGCCATCCAGGGAGTGGACTGAAGCTGAATACTGATTCAGGAAGAGCCGCACATCATTCAATGGCCAGTGGTCAGAGCGTCAGGGTTCCACGAACTTCTCCACGAGGTCTACAAACAGGTCTCTGACATCCTTATTGTGGGTCAGCTTGGCGGCCACATTCACCAGCCCCCGGGACAGGTTCTGTGGGGCAGGGAGCCTGGGAGTTCTGCCTTCTGCCCGAGAGAGGCTGGGGGCTGAGACCACATCTATCCACCTCCCTCAATCAAATAATTCCCCAGCGTTTAAGAGCTGGCCACCCCCAGGGGCAGGCAGAGGGAACAGCAGCACCGCCTGAGGCCAATAGCACAGCTGCTGCGGGGACAGGGCTCTGGAGGCTGAAGATGCCCCAGTTACAGAGGCTGGACTGGGCCACAGACCTTGAAGTTGGCTTCCATCTCCGAAAAGACACCAAGCTTCCCCCGGAGGGCAGTGCACACCAGGCTGAAGGAGGACAGGGTCAAGGCCCACGCTGCCTGGGCGCCCACTTCAGGCCCCGCCCCACAGACCCCTCGGGTCACCTCTTGTGCAGGTCTAGAAGGTCCTTGTCAGCCACAAGCACCTTGAGCTCCTTCAAGTCCTGGAGAAACTCCTTGTCTAAGTCCATGTCCATGTCATCCACCTGAGAGTCGACGGCTCCAAGGGTCCAGTTCTGGATCATGAGCTCAGCACAGAAGGCAAAGTCCCCAAAGCTCAGATACTGCAGTTTTTTCTTCCCTGTCTCAAAGC